CGACCAGTTTTGGTCCATTGTAGTTCCCTTTAGAATGAGTTCAAAGTTCTCCGCTTAGTCCTGTTGACTCCAAGAACTTCCAGATTTTCTGAGCGGGGAGCATCTGTATCTCTTCCGGTTGCATAATATGCTGCCCTAGATAGATACTTCTGCGGTACATGAGTGGACTGCACGAGCAGAGGATGTGCATAGCAGTTTCCTCTGTTAATTTATGAATCAGTGACAATCTAACTTTCTATAAATTTTATTTGATTAACATAAAAAAAGAATACACAAAAAAGTTTTTACAAAGTTATAAAACTATTTTAATTTATAATAGATAACTATATATAATCAGTATAAAGTATGGGCTGTAATTAATTTATTTCAATTTTTGTATTGTTTGCAGTTCATGTATAATATTTTCTAAATTTGAACATTTCTTTAACGGATAAACATTAAAAATTTTAATAAAATATTAGGACAAACATAAACCAAAATACATGTCAATAATTTTGAATAAAGCACTAAAAGTATATAGCGCACATAAATAAGCGTGTCGCGTAAATTGCGTTCCATTTCACGAATTTTTATTTTTCATACCGCAACATGTCGTCAGTTATGGGTCACAATTTGCACCATTCGGGTTATAGCCGAGGGTGGGCGGAAGGGGAAGGCGGTCATTCCGCGCGACGGACATCCGCCGCATAACAAGTCGATCTAGCCTCGCTTATAAATATCGCATAGCTGGAAAATAGGACGCCTCTTTAACAAATAATTGGTGTTCAAATTATGAATTGTTAACGTTTGGAAGTATGATGTTTAGTAGATTCAATATTTTAGTATATAGATAATATTTTATTTGGAAGTCTTATTAAAAAGTCGATCGATCCTGACTTATAAATATCTCATAGTTGGAAAATAGGATGCCATTTTAACTAATAATTGGTGTTCAAATTATGTTATGTTAATGTTTTGAAATTAGAGGACGATTCTATTAGTCTGTTATCCATTGTAGTAATTATGATTTGACTTATGGGTATATGTTAAAGTAGAATAACGCTCATATTTATTTAAAATTCCTTACATATAAATTAAAGCCTTAAAAAAATAATGAAATTGTATTTTATTGAATTGAAAATTTTTATAAAATATTATTTATAATTAAAGTCAAAAATAAAATGAAAAACACCCTAATAAAAAAAATATACTCAAAAATCATCACATAAATTATTAATAAAGAGGCTAATTTGAGATACAAATTAAATGTTTATTCGTAAACAAGAAATTTCTTTGGTAAAAATGCAAAATATAAGGAAAATTCTTGCGAGATAAACTAATGGGGGTGTATCTATACATAGCGTGTCCGCGAGAAGAGCCGGGGCGCTAACAACTGCCGTCCGGAAGGCGCGCCGGCGGCTTCCGGCCGAATGTTTTATACGAACTATATTCACATTTTTCAACCCTGCTTTAAATTTTATGACTTTATTTTCACGTACATGGACTAGATACTATTCTTTCGTCATTTCGGGCTTTTGTTCTTTTTTGAAGTAGCTCGCGAAAGTTGAAATGCGAGAGCAACTTTATGATTTATTGTAAAAAATGTTTTGTTACGTTTGCATAATATAAGGCTAATTTTTTGTAAAACAAAACAAATTGTAAGTGTTATAGACAGGTTATATACTTACGTTAGTATATTTTTTCTGTATTGCAGAAAGATTGATGCGAATGCTGTGACCTGATATTAATAGTGACATTAATATTTATTATTAATATTTTGTTTTACTTGTTTGTTGTATATTATTTTAAACTTCTAGAGAAATAGAAAACCACAGTTTTATAAAATCTTCTATATAAATTAAACAAATAACTGTTTTATACATTAATGATTAGCATTTGAAGCACATTACTAGGTCCATCACTGCAAAAGATAATGCCCGGGTGCACGCCTTTGCCATTTAGATTCGCATCAACGTCATAAACGGTATATATTTTATAACTTTATATAAAATCTAAATTTTATCACCTTATTTTCTTAGAGAGCTGTATTAATAATAATTTACTTTATAAAAATATGTGCTAGTACGACAAAACTTTGCAATATGAAATGTGGAATAAAAAATGCAGCTGTCATCTTTAGCATTTCAATCCAAACAAAATTAATATACTAAAGCATTCGCAACACTCGAATCAATTTTAAAACATATTTTTATACTTTATACTAATTATGGAAAAAATATATTATTTTGAAATATAAGTTAGATAAAAGTTAGCGAATAAAGTATTAAAATTAAAAGAGCATGTCTAACTTAGTATATATTATAGTTTATTTCTACAGTGTCTTCTCTCGAAATTATAGGTAGGTACAATGATTTATTTTACACGTCCTTTTATTTGTTCTGATGAAATATTTGTACCAAAAAGAAAAAATGAAACGGTTAACGTACTGTCCGGGGTTAAGCCGCCCAAAGGGGGGGTCCAGACGGGTGGCGTTTAAAAATTTCACTCCCACTGATTCGCCCACAATACCCATAATCAACGATTGCCTTTTGAAATCGAAACGGTTGTTAACTTCTGGGACTCTGTCTTTAAACGGGCGATTCCGGAGACAGGATTTTTCGGCATTTGCCATTTATAATGACTCGATTATTTTAATTTTAATCGATATCTATATAACATGCAGTATTTTCAAAATAATGTGTCGAAAAAAGTGTTGTCTATAAATTTTAATAATCTCACTATTTAATGTAGTAAATAAGTCCTTATATTTTATTATTTAATCTTTAACTTATAGACAAAACGTGAACAACATCACCCGTTTTTGTAACTATTTAAGTTATTGATTAACCATAGGTTCAACAATAGTGTTTACAAAGCGTGTACACGCTTCATATGTTGGCTATGGTCTAACATAATCCTACAACAGCGGGCCCACACGGTCATTGTTTAATTATCGCTATTATCACACCGAAACAGATCTTATCGTAATGAAATTATGCGCTCCGCAACATAAGGAGATATCGGTTTCGGTACGTACAGTTCGAAAGGAAAGCTAACAAAAAAAAATTATATATATGTATCTTAAATTTTACAAACGTATGTTTGTACGTGTAAACTATTGCTTAACATTATTGTATATTGGATTTTAAGAGTAATTATACTTTATTTATTTGTAGATTAAAATTTTAAATAATATTTTTCTTTTAAATAACAATTAATAATTAATAAAAAAATACGTTACTACGTAAGTAAAATATTTTAAATTTAATTTCTTAAATGTGTATAGTACAGGCATTGCAAAAACATAATAAATGTTATAAATGTGTAAATTACTCTTAGGAAAATAGATCGTTTTCTGGCGATGGTACCGCTCAGCTACCGAATTCTGTTTCGATTTTATAATGACGGATTATTGAATGTATGACATTGACGGATTATATACAGTAGGCAAATAAGAATCTATTGACGGCTTGGCTAAACTTATCATACTTTTATGACAGAATACAAAAGAATATTTTAAGAACATGTAGTAATTTTTGGTAAAAATTAAGGATATATCAACAAATACAGGATATTTTAGGGTTTATACAACAATTATTGAGTGTAGATATTTAAAGCAGTATACGTAGAATCTTAAACAATTCATTAAGATTTAATTAAAATTGGCTTAAAATATACAAAATTTAATAGAAATACAGATATTGTACTGTATCCGCGTATAATGAACTTCGAAAAGCTTTTAAGTTTTGCTTGAATATTTATATATTTGCAAAGCTTTTATAATGTTTCATTGTATAAGACATCCTGTATATAGGTTTTTTTCCGGTCGGTCACAGAACAATTTGACCGTTACATTTCAATAATCTTCTTAACATTCTAGATGTTATCGAGCCGCGCCCACCGCGCAGTGATGATCTCTTCCTATCGATAACGATTTGCTTTTTAAATCTTAAATGGTGCCTATAATACATTTTATATTCTATTAGTGTAGGTGATACAAACAATTTAATCTGTCTTAACTTATGAATAATAGATACTTCAAAGTTTTAACCCAGATTTTGGCTTTTTATTAATATTTTGTATTGGTTATTCCAAAAACCAATGTTATTAATGATATAGCTATTTGAGATGTCTACAATATAATCTGAGTCACACACATGATTATATTTAAACAAAGTATTTTTTTAATATTTAACAAAAATATGACGATGATGACTCATATATATACCTATTATGCCAGATATAACAAAGTGACAGTGTATATAATTAATGACAAGATATTTCAAGATATAACTTAATAGCATTACAAATATAAAATTATGATATATTTTTTTAACTACTACTAATTAAATGTAATATTTCTTAATAAAGTTTGTGTATAGTTCATAAATAAATATTGCCTAATTTAATTAGACTAAATTCCCATCACTATGAGCTCGAGACAACACAATGGTGTCCACAATAAAATTTGTCTCGGCCTCACAATGAGCAATCAAATTACTGTCAAAACTAGAGGTGCAGCTTTGCCACGGGTCTTGACCACCGAAACTTTATAAAAAACTTCGCTCAAATCAGTCACTATTTAATTAATGCGATATTTTTATATCAATTCTTATTTAGATTTCAACGTTTCGTGTTACAGAGTAATATTTTAGTTGTTGACGTGTTGTTTGTTCTCAAATCATTTTTTCTTTCCATGATAGTGTTACATATAGATTTCAATATCAACATTCTTAACCCAGGCGTGTGTACGTGATTCAGGCACGCGTATATTTCATAAGATTTTAGAGGTGCATGAATCACTCGAGGCACGAAGGGGCTATCAGTCACGGCTGCCGACGTACCGGGCCCGTGGACCTCCTACTTAACATGCGTACCACGCACCCACCCTAGGCCTATACTACGATATGTGAGAGCTATTACTAGACACTTTGCCCGCGTTAATATTGCGGTACGTCTTCCATCGAAAAGCGTATCCATCTATTCGTTACATAGTTTAACATGTTTTTTCCTTGTTACAGAACCGAGTAACTACGTCTGCTCTACGTGCAAAGCGCGCGTGCATTCAGCCTGGCGATTGGTACAACACGTTCAACACGTGCACGGTGTAAAAATTTATGTGGAAAGCATGCCCCAGCAGCTTCCAAATAAACAGAATCATTCTTCCTCGAGTACTTCTTCATCGAGCTCAGGCTGTTCTTCTACTAGTGCACCTCTACCACCACCATCATTACGCCACCACCCATTACTTCCACCGCCAGATATGCATTCCCCTTTTGGGGTTGGTGGCTTACTACGTATGCCACTTCCGGGTAGCTTACCTCCTTTAGCTCATCCGTCAGTACCACCAACTCCACTATTTGCAAGGCCAAATCATCATGACCATAGATTTAGAATGGAGCAACTTGTATCAGAACAGTTTCGCCATCATGGCCTGAACTTAGCAGCAGCAGCAGCCGCTGTGGCAGCAAATTCTTTGCCTCCACATCAGGCATTTCCATCTCCAGCGGATCGACCACCCGTAGTTCCAACTTCATTATCAGGTCGGGAGAGACCACCTGTATCCCAGCCTCTTTCATTGGAACCCCAGCTGGATTTTTACTCGCAGCGCTTGCGGCAACTGGCAGGTACGACCAGTCCAGGGGCGGCCACAGGCAATTCGAGCTCTCCTAGCCCCAGGAAGCATTCGCCTCCGTTCGCTTCCCCGTCGCCCTCGCGAGTCGGCCAGACTCCACCCGCGGGCGCCGGACCCGGAACGGTGGACACCCCTCGTGAAGCCATAAGGCCTCATAGTTCAATATCCCCTGAACGTCGTATTGAACCTCAGACGGCTGATGCACCCCCTGAACGCCCTTCATCTACACCACCAAAAAGAAACAATGAAGAAGCGACACACCCTTGTGAATTTTGCGGTAAGAAATTCCGTTTTGAAAACAGTTTAGTAGTACATCGTCGCTCTCATACTGGAGAAAAGCGTTTTAAATGTAACCAATGTGATGAAGCATTTGAGAAAAATTCTAAGTTAAAAAAGCACATGAAAATACATCGAGGTCCTGATGCAAATACCGAAGAAGGTGAATCCGGTGGCGATACTGGTGAAGATGAATCTGAAGATGAATTGGAAGATGAAGAATTGGATGGTGAAGAAGAGGAGGAAAATGAAGATGGAGAAGAAGTCGAGGAAGCTGAAGACTTAACAGTTTCTAATAGTAGCGTACCTAGCGCTCCACTCCGGAAACAAACTCCGGCAATACCAGCTCATCCTCCTACAGCGTCAGTTGTCGGTGAGCTAATGGATAAGTTTGGTTTGTCCAACATTGCTCAATACAGTGAGGCTTTTAAGCAAGCGTTACAAGAATCTGGCAATTCGCTTAAATGGCAGTTAGCAAAAGACCGTGATAATAATAACGGTCCGCCTTCCGACAAACCAAATGGCATGCCACCTACTGCTGCTTTACGCTTAAAAGAAGAGTTCGCTAAGATGCCGCCTCAGCCGCATCCGCTTTTCAATCCATTCGAAAACCCTTTCGAAGCGTCAAAACGAATGAAGCTTGATATGGAAAGAGGCGAAGGTTGGTGGCTACCGACTTTACATGCACAGAGACCACCTGATAACATTTTTGACGGACTAAAGAACAGCAGCAACGGATTGCTACAGAACCCTTTATTAAAAACGAAGGACGGACGCCGAAATGACACATGCGAATTCTGTGGCAAAGTTTTTAAGAATTGCTCAAATTTGACGGTCCATCGGCGCTCACATACAGGCGAGAAACCGTACAAATGCGAATTATGTTCCTACGCGTGTGCTCAGAGTTCTAAACTAACGAGGCATATGAAGACGCACGGACGACTTGGAAAAGATGTATATCGCTGTCGTTTTTGTGAAATGCCATTTTCAGTGCCGTCAACGCTAGAAAAACATATGCGTAAATGTGTTGTGAATCAAAGTAATGGTGCTCTTGCTTTATCCGATGACTCTAACGCGTGTCGTGATGAGGCATCGTGACTCTACCCTTGGGGTGGGCTTCGCTTGTTACCCCCCGCGCCGCCCAGCCAGATCTTCTAAACAATTATGCATCATATTCCCTTGTTTCTGTTATTTAAATAGAACTATAGTCTGGTTATCATAAGAAAATGATTTGGTAATATCAAAATGCACTCTATAGCTAAGTAAATAAGTAAATCGATCGATTTTGCTAAGTAATCTTTATGGTAACCCGACTGTAGGCGGGTCGGCATTTGTTCAATTTCTAGTCTTAAGAAGAAAATGAATGTGGCGAAAACATTATAATATAATACGCATTGCAATATGAGCCCAAAAATCCTAGCATCGAAGGGCATTAATTTAAGTGATAGATACACTTAGTGACATATCTTTTGTGTGAGTGTTAGTCCCCATTTTGTTGTTGGTGTTAGACGTAAAATTTGGTTATTTTCATTCGAGGCTGTACTCTTTATGTTATATTTCAACCTTGTTTTGACATGTTTATTGTAAAAAGAAACCAATGCCAAAGTTAGCTACGTTGATTTAAACATTAAAGTACATTTAGTTATTAAGCTGTATAGTGTCAATTAAAGCGGTTTTTTCAATATTTTCTAAGATCTTGCGTAGGGATGTGTAATTAGGTAAGTTGTTTCGTAATTTTAGTGTATTATGTACATTACTAAGCAAATGTTTCCTATCCTAGTTAAAACTTGTAAATAATATGTAAGGGTAACATGTAAATCGAGTACCTACCTATTGATGTTCATAATATTTATAAACAACAATATTTCGCAAATAACAAATTCATTTTCGGCTAAAACGGTGAGTTTCCTTTAATAATTAGCATCGTAGAAAGCAAAATTGCAATCGTTGATAGGTGTTGTTACGAACGAGGTACGTCTGTCTAATATTTAATTAGTGTTAAAATTTATTAAATTAAAATATCTTGAATTATGTGATCTTTATTTCCAAGCTTTTAAAATGAAAGCTAGTTAGTTATTTTATTAAGACTGAAAAATATTCCAGTTTTGTTTTAAATAAATTTTCTCATGTGATTTGTGGAAAACCTGTACCTTTTAGTCCAAGCGTGAAATCTTTCAGTATACGTACTTAATGTAAATTATGATAGAATTTATATTAGATAAATATAAGTAAATTATAATAAATAACTCCATTTTGTCTCCTGAATCCACCTACTGTTATTTATAACTTCGTTTAGGGCCTCTTCAAATGACGTAACATTACGTCATTTAGACAGGACCTAATAACTATAACGCTATTTCTGCTTAAAATATTAAAATGTGTATAGAGTTGGGCGATTACGAATAACTTACAATATAATCTAATAATGAATATTACAACAGATGACAATGAATAAATTAGTGTCTTTTATTGTTAGCAAAACTTATTAAATATTATTGTCAATCAATCAAAATTATGGGCTGCATGAAAACAATCGATAATAATCGACAATCGTGTTTATTATAATTTAATAATCGATTTTATTACTGTTTTATTCGCAATTGCTCATCTCTACTTATTGCCATTTTAATTTTGTATCTTAACTAAATAAACTTACTGACTATATAAATATTTTAATATGTTCTATTAACTATATTGCATGGGTAAATGTAGTTTTATTAGTACAAATAAATTAAATATTATTTAAATTAAAAAAACAATGTTGATAAAAATATTAAAATTCCATGTCATAAGGTAGACTAAGGATGACAAAAGGAGGCGAAATAGCAACAAATAAATACGACAAATTTTATTGTGTAACTACGTGAAAGATGAACTGTTTTTATTATTTTTCATTTTTATTATTTTTATTTCAATAAATATCCATGATTTGTTAATCAGATATGTTTTTTATTTAAGCCTTTATCAATCAGTAAATATGTAGAGAATAAACAATTTTAAAAAATTATAGTAACACTGTCTACCTAACAATATCAATAACGTGGTCTTTTGAGATTATTATAATTTAACATTTTTGAGATATTTTCCTGCAGTAAAAAGTATCCTATATGTTGACCCGGATAACCAGCTATCATCATATCAAATTTCATCAAAATCTGTCCAATGATTTTGTCGTGATGGGTTCCCAGACAGAGAGACAGGAAAAATCTAAAAACTATAGATTACGCGTCTGTATCGATAATAATTACTATTTCAATAAGATTTTCCAGAAAATGTTTAATGTACAGATTCGAATCAGAATTTTATTATATGTGTAGATTAACATAAAGGAACTGAGGACGATTCATGTTCAAAAGTTTAAAATAAAACATATAACAGTTAAACTAAAGTTTAAAAGTGGACTATCTAAACATATTCATTGTTAAATTTACCTTAAATAAAGTAGTAAATACTTAAAGAGTTAGGATATCTCAAGAAAAACTTGACTACTTACCGTTTTGCTTAAATTAATCAGTATAGCTTTATAGCTAGGAAATAAAGATATAAGAAATTAATAATAATACCTATTTGACGACACGTTTAGCTCAGTTTGTAGTGACCATACTTGCTGTGCCAGCCGTCGCGGGTTCGAGTCCCGCTGGGGGAATTAATTTGTGTGATGAGCACGAACTCCAGTCATGGGTGTTTATATTTATAATATGTATGTATGTATTTAAAGTTATCAAGTCTATCAACTATCTGGTATCCATAACACAATCCTCGTAGCTTACCATGAAACTAGATGGTGCTGTGTGTTTATGTCCCAACATATTTATTTTTATCAAATTACGTGATAATCATTTAAGACGTCCTCAGAATTAATTCATATTTTAAAATAATTATTTTATAACTTAATAATATACATAGTATATCAACATTCTTTTTCATTGTTAAATATTTACAATGATGTTCACAAAATAACACACATATACAGATAAATAAAATTGAATTGTATTTATCTGAATGTTTTTACTAAATGCAATTATGAAATTACATATATAAGGCGCTTAAATGAAAAACATAAATTTTTAATTTTTGTCTGTCTGTTTGTCTGCTAAATGCATATACAATTATATACGGTACTTATAAGAAAAAAATAATTTTTAATAAAATTGTCTGTCTGTTTGTTCCGGCTAATCTCCGAAATGGCTGGACCGATTTTGACGGAACTTTCACTAGCACATAGCTGATGTCATCAAAATCCGACGCACCTAGGGAAGCGCCCGAGCAAAACGAGGTCAAGTCGCTAGTTTAACTAAGTATATCACTAAAATAAATCACACATTCAAATATTTAACTTACTGCGCTTCAAAGATCTTTTAAACTTTTTTTTATGAACAAAAAACACTTAACAATTTATCTTAGACATATATTATATACTATGGAGCTATTAATAAACGTGAAAATTAGTATGTATGTATTTGTGTGTATGTTTGTTACTCCTTCACGGTGAAAATGCTGAACGGATTTGGATGAAACTTAGTGCACAGATAGATTATGACTGAGAGTAACACATAGGATAATACTGTTAGGCATCTAGGGAAGCATCCGAGTGAAGAGAGGTATTACCCTATTCATAGTGATTGTGTATGAACTAATTTTAATGAAGAATATTAAATAAAAATATATTTTTAACAGTAATACTTTTGGTATTTGTAATTAACTAACTTTGTAGCTAGGCTATAACTTTTTAAACGAAATTCTAATTTTCTAATATCTTAGGTAGGTAGTAAGCATGCTTTAAACTAATAGCTATTAAATGTACCTATTCACCCCATTTTATGTCCCACTGCTGGGCATGCCTTCAATACGAGAGGAGTCCACCATGCTGGCCAAGTGCGGGTTGGCGGACTTCACATGCCTTTCGAAAACTTGCTAGGTTCTCTCAGACATGTAGGTTACATCACGATGTTTTCCTTCACCACATGGCAAGTGGTAATCATGTTAGAAATGATTCACACATGAAAATATCAGAGTTGCGATTCCGGGATTTGAACCCGCTTCACTCGGTTTCCCAAGTGACCGCGTTACCACTGGGCTACCACTGCCTTATCTATTTAATTGTCTTGTCCAATATATTATGATTATAATATTTCTTTTAGTAAGAAATATTTAAAAACCTATAAAATGTAAACATTTATAATTAATAAATATACAGATAAAACTTATTTTAAGTTTTTATAAAAAAATACTTTAATTTATCGACTTATTAATAAATATATGAATTATATGTTAGGTATAAAAAATATTTTAATAAACTTAAAAGGCTATTTTACTTCCTATTTCCCTTCTACTAAAATGATATGAGAACATAAAACGCGATTTGTTACATTCTTAAATACTAGCGCCATCTATTGGTGAGTAGCAGCAATATTCGGAACAAAATATTAAACTAAAGTTTTTACATTGTATTTCTAATCGTAATAACATAAGTAAATTTTGAATAATTATAACCTTCATATTGATTTTGTTTTAAATAGTAAAAAAATATATTAAGAACTAAATATTTTTATTACATAACATGCAATTTCATAATATTACTTTTAATAACTTTAAAGTTTAATAATTTTTACCTGTTTTTTTAGATTATACTCTTGGTAATAATGATATGTAGCCGCCTGTACTTTAATTCTTATAAGATAAATGTAGTAAATATCGATCAAACTAGAAAATTATTAGAGCGATGAACCAAGTCTTGGAAAATCATAAGAGATGGCAGCACATTAGGGCTTACAGTGTTTTGTGATAAATACATAGATGTCGCTCGATCAAAGTTTTATTATCGATTGATATTATTGTCTAATAATAATTTTCAATTAATATATATTTGTCTATTTAAAGTACATTTGAGTATTTATTTACTATGTAAATAATATTCGACATTAAAGCGTTTATTAAACACATACTATTTTATATCACAAGAACACCAATAACTATAATTTTATTATAATTTAAAATAATAATATTAAGAAACTTAAAAGCCAGCTCATTCACTAAAATCCTTTTAATAATTTTGCAGGGCAGATGATCAATTACCCTTCTGAGGCACATTTGGT